TATATATATATATATATATATATATATATATATATATATATATATAAAACCATTGAGAACCAGAGTATGTGTGAGTTTGACGAACCTTGTAAAAAAAAAAAGGAAAAAAAAACAGAAGAGGATATATGAGTTGGCGACTAGCCAAGGACGTTTTCATTAGTATGAATGAAATTATTAAGGTTTGAGAAATTTATCAAAAACCACATAGGAGATGAGTTATTTAACATTTCTACCCATTTGTCACTATTCCAACACTAAGATCATGTTTTTTTTAGAAAAATGTACAATGAGACCATTTATTTTTGATACAAGGTGGTTACAATTAATCTTTGACCATTGGATGTGAAATTAACCAGTTGCATTTATTCTTTCGACTAAACTCAAAATTCAAAAAAAACTTTTTCGAACTTTGTGACACACCCAAGCTATCAGATTTCATATCGGATAGTTCTAAGAAATTTGTAACCTCCTTGTATAAAGGAAAGGATCTCATTACATACCATCCCATACAGTATACCATCCCGTACAGTATAGGCATTTTGTGCGTGGTAGCAAACCTCATCTCAACCTTTTATTTCTATAAAGTGCAGTTTGGCACTCCAAAAAAGTATTCTATTTTCCGGAGGAATTTTGATATACTTTTTCTGTTACATTATACAATGAAGAAAAAACTGGGGTTGTCAGATATACTCCCTCAAGAGCACATTGTACACCACTCCCATAGGCAAAAGAGCCACTTAGAAGTACTTCTATCTAAAATTGTGATCCACTTAAAATTATTAGTTCGAGTATTTGAACAAAAAAATTAGCCTTCAATTTCTCAACATGTGGATCTGACAGTCCAAAAAAATGGATGCCATCTACTCAAATCTTAGAATGTTAATCCGTTTCATGCCAATGGCGAGTGCACTTATTTCTTTACTTATTCATTTTCTCGTCTTATGATTTGTAGGGGTGACAATACCCGGACCTGACCCGGGACCCGAAAACCGGACCCAGGGGTGAATGGAGGACATGCTATTGTTGGAGAATATAATTTTTTGACAACACATAATTCCTTTTTACTTTTTGATAATTATACGAGAACATCTATTTATAAATTTCAAACCAGTTTGGAAGTGAAAACCGGTTGGTTTGGTTATGCCCAAGTAATAAAATGGGGTATGGTTCTTAATCAGCGCCTGGATTGGAGATTCATAATATTTTGATAAACAAGATATGCATGGGCAACCTCAACTCTTATCGAATATTTAAATGACTAAAAGACTTGAATCATCCATTCAAGGGACAACCACATGATCCAATACAAGTTGGAAAGTGCAGAACACTGCCTTGAGTCAGATTCTAAGCAGTGGAAACCACCGAAGAACAAAAGCTGGAGTGACCCTATTCTGCAAACTTCAATAATTGTCTCTTAATGGATTTTCTGATTAGGAAGATGTATTTCGACTGTCCAATGAACCAGCAACCTTGAATGTTGTAGCATGGCATATTTATCGAGTAAAAGATGTTACACAACAAAATACAAAACATGTAATAGGAATAGTACGATCAACCCTAGGATTGAGAATAGAGCTCCCGTGTCTGTAGACCTCAAGGCCTTGCGTGTTCCCTTTCCATGTCTGGTAGACTGCCTAGAGTAGCTGAAAAACACAACATTGTAAAAAGAAAGGCTCGAGGAGCTCTTTTTACTATATGGGTATAGTTTTGTGATAAATGATAATGCTAGTCTAAAATGCAGGGGGTTCCAAGAGTGGTCTATGAACACATGATGCACATTCTAGTTAAGTAAAACAATATAAAATTTTGTGATGGTTATAATATTAGGCTTGACAGTCAAAGCAGATATAGGAAAGCTATGGCTTTCAATTAATAGAAAAGAAACATTCTCGCTTTCCCTAAACATATGCAATTGTTTTGAATTATATATCAAGGGCTTCACATAGAATATATATTTTTTTTGCCTGAGAGAGGTATGCGTATAATTGGTGTGCTGGATGCCCGTTAGAAAGGATAGCATTTAACCACTCGGTTTCATAACAAGTACAAAGCACCCCTCTCTTTTTGAATATTTTTTTTGGTAAGTGTTAAACGGTGGGAATGGACCAACAACATGAATTGAAGGCGCAAGATTACACATCAACTTGCACAAGAAAGTAGCAGACAAACAGAGATGTAACTGGGTACAACAACGAACAAAAGAATCGACAACACAAGATTCAAACTTTATAGATCATCATCATCATCATCCTCATAGTCTTTTCCAACTATATGAGGTTGGCTACACAAATCCTAGTCCATCATTCTGCTCTATCAAGGACCAAATCCCTCAGTGAGACGCTATAAGTCCCCATATCTTTTTTCGCTACTTCTCACCATGTCTTTTTGGGTCTACTCCTTGCCCTTTTCTAGCCTACCTTTCGCCCTTTTTAACCTTCCACTTGAATTAGATTTTTCTCATTTTCATTTAGTTTTCCTATAGACAAGTTATGCTTACTCTTCTTCATCTCATTGTATCTATTAATTCCATACTCTTACCTTTAAACGTTCCTACATTTCATGTGGCTAGACGAATCCTATTATCTTAAACTAGCTTCTTTACCCGCGCTCGTCTAAAACGTCATGGGAACCCTTGGTTGTTTTTCACCACAACAGGACGAAGCTGCACCCTGTCGCCTCTGGGAAATTCCCTAGCTAACCCTTGCTCATTAATCACTGTACCTAGGTTCTGGTACAACGCGTCACTTACAGGGAAAGCCCTAGCATAAGCACATAAGGTATGTTCAAGATTCATGATAAGTTTTGACAAAGTTTTATGTTGGTTGCCTACTTAACACAACGCACCTCCTTTACCCTAGCTTGGGATAGGTTAAGGTAAAGTTTAAGGTACTCACCCTTCTATAAGATTCAGATCTTATAGATGATATAATGAAATGTTTGGGACTCAAATATCTCCACTTTTTGATAATGGAAACCTTGTGATCATAGCAATAAAAAAAACACATGTCTCATTATTATGACAAGGTCTTTGGTTTATTTGAGTTTTTTCCAGCAGTTCTTTCGAAAGGATGCATTCATGCTTAAGCGAAAATTTGATTATACAAAAACATAAAAAAATAGAAACACCCAAGAATAAGGAAAACAAAACGTTTACATAGATTAAAACAGTGGAACAAATTCTTACCTTTATTAACATTTTTGTTTTCTTTCCTAGGTTTTTCCTCTTTTAAATTATATACCACTCTCAAGGATGATCCTAGAAGAAGTCATGACTGTTATCTTGAGCAATAGATTTTATAACCAAAATGAGAGAAGGGTATGATCATTTATTACCTCCTGAAACGAATTTCATATCCCAAAGTCACTTTTGAAAGGGAAAACAGATGAAGCACTTCGCTGAATTTCTCGGACTCCACAACTACGTATTATACAAGCAGGTTCGGTTACAAAAGTTCTTTCCGATGGTGACTAAGAAAAATGTGCAGGTACTATCTTCAGCAACAAATAACTAAAGTAAAAAAGGTTTAGCCGCATGATGCAGAATGCCTGGAGGAACCTGTCATAGGAATCCATGGTGAAAAATGATTGGTGATTGTGATTAGGAAGACTTGGCAGGTACTGTCTTAAGCAAATAATGATTTTGTTGACATTTGTGTCATAGGAATCCATAGTGAATAGAGCTTTAAAATTGAAAATTTATCATTTAATAGTTCATTGCAATTCCTAAACTTGATTTGCTTGACAAGCCTATATAATCATATCAACTATTAACTCACCCATCCATCAATTCAGCTAACATAGATTTATTATAAATTCAGTACATGAGTCTTTCTTCCAACTGTATTATCTGTGTAATTCCCTTCTTTTTTATTTTTTCATTTTCATAATCATTTCCATGTAAATTTCTAATAGGGCACAATCATGACAATAGGATTAACCACAACAAGAAATGAAGTTCGAAAAATAAAACATTAGTGTCTGAAACTTAATGAAGTACCTGCCCTTGAAATCAGGTGAATTTGAGACCGAGGCCCTGCAAATTTCCAACTATCTTCATCCAAGGACTTCACTTCCTTCTGTAAAGCAGCCATTACATCTGATTTCAACACTGAAAAGCGAATATTTAATCAACAAACAAGCAACAAACGCAAAATAAAATAAATAACTAATAACGAATGACATCGAATGATGATTTGAAAGTTAAAACCAATCAATAAATAAAAATAAAAATAAAAATCCGAACAAAATTGTCATAAGAAACCAAATACAAAACCAAAAATGGCAAATAAACAAAACAGATATATGGACTACATTTCCTCGCAAGTTTTAAAGAGTAAATGGCATTGAAACCAATAATCTCAACCAGAAGGGAATAAATAAAGAAGGAACAAAAAAACTTAACATATTCACATCAAAATAGAGGGCAGAAAACGAAAAATGGCACAAAAGCTGTCGAATTTAAAGTTCTAGAAGTGGTAAAGAAGAAGAAGAGCAGACACCCTGAAATTGAAGCACGAGAAGAAGAAAGAGGGTTAGGTTTGCGGTTACCGATCATAGCTTCCTCTTTGCGGTCCTGGGCAGACTTGAAATCAGATGGGAAAGGAGAATGAGAGGAGTTTGCGTTATTGTCATTATCCCCTGTGCCTCCTCCTGCATTGCTTCCATGACCTCCAATACTTGTTGCAGATACCGATGATCTAGCAGGAGAGCTCATCCTAGCTGCCTCTCTCTCTCTCTCTCTCTAAATTTGCTCCTTCTCAGTCTCTGGTTTTCCTATTGTGAAGTTATTCGCACTTTCCCCCTATAAAAGTCGGGTTTCGCTCGCTTTCTCTCCGACTCATCGAGTGCCATGATGGGAGACCCGGACCCCACATGGACTGGGTTTAGGTCCACGAATTGGACCTGGCGGATTCGACCCGTTGCTACGCCTAAGACCATGAGATGTTGGAATGCATGTTTTGTTTTTTTTGTTTTTTTACATAAATTTGTCCACCGACCTTTTCAACTATTTAAGGTAGGGCCGGCACTCGGTAAATGGCTCCGTACTTCAAAAAAAAAAAAAAAGAGGATTTGGGTCTCAAAATATGGTCGGACAGTCAGGCAATAGCCGAGCCACTATGGCTTGTAGGTAGGCTTGGCCAGGACCACAACAGTGCTAGCGTTGTCTGATTTTTCTTTAGTATTGTTCTATATTTTCTCTAAGTGTATTAGAGCCGGCTCAACCCAAATAGGGCCTGACATGGGCGATGGCGTCTTTGGGCCGATCAGGGTAGGTCAGGTCAAGTCAGGTCCGGGCCGAGCTAGAGACAAGGTTGGCTTAGCCCACACTCGGCTCCTTGTGAGTCCTAAAAATTTATCTGTTTTCTAGAGCTAGCTGACCTAGCGCTGCATTGATCCATATAGTAGAGGCACATGAGTGGCCTTGGCAGGGCCGCATTAGACCATGCTAAATGAAAAAAAAGAAAAAAAAAGAAAAGAAACTTATAAAGTGCAAAAGGGCGGGTCTGGCCGAACAGAGTTGGCCCTCGCCCAGCCCTGGCCAGAAGGCTGTGGTGGCCAGGACCTTGGGCCACAGGCTCCAATTTTTTAGGTCCGGGCCGGGTCACTTGGCCAATCAGCACTCGTAGTGTTTTCAAATATTCCAACTCATAGTCATGCAAATAAAGTTAACTGTAACAATATATTATTTTTGAGGACTTCAAAAACTTTTTCCTATTTTTAATTCTCTTTTCAATACATTAGGTCCACAAATGTATGTTCATCTTAATCCATAAAACGCTCCATAAATCAATTTAATCTTACAATATTGCTATTGAAAAAATGAAATGATGATCAGAATTGAAATCGCTCTCGCCCGTTCAAGATGCAGATTAGTTGGTGGGGTATTACAGTCCATGGATAAGTAAATCGCTCAATGGCCACTGTCTTTTGTTTATTATTAATTAAGCAAGCAACTGGATCGGACGTCCAATCGAGGGTGTCCGATCCAGTTGCTTGCTTGATGGGGGGTTTTAAAAGAAGAGTACATTCTTGCTTTTTGCTTGCATTCAATGCTATGTAGATAGTAGAGTTACATTGTTATCTGGGTGGAGTTTGTTGTATATAATCCTGAATTGGAAATTATTTACTGCATGAAAACTACAGTATCATGGATGCTTCATATTAGAAGAGAAAAAAATCGACAGTCGTATTTAGTATTTTAATTTGATTTATTTTATAGATTAGATTTATGTGAAATTTGGCAATCTTATTTAGAGACACTTGAAAAGATTTTACAAGTACTTAAATAAATAACTTGATCAAAATACACCAGAATGTTTTAAGGGTATTTTGGTTAGTATGCTTATGCAATGTACCATCTTTTCGCTGCAACCTATGTGAGATGGTGGTGATTTAATTGCAAAGCAATGCAACTAAGTGCTTAATATTGGAAATGGGGTGGAGGTTGTAGTGGTAGCACCGACCTGTCTAGATTTCCATTCCAACTTACGCATTCGAAAAGTACTAATTATTATTAAAACAGATTGGGCCTATATTCTGCATTGATCTACCCAAAAAAAAAAGAAAAAGTAAATGCTCAAAGAAAAAAAAAAAAAAACTACTGACTGAATTCCTGTGAAAGTTCAAACCTTAACACTTATGCCAAGTAAGGACAGAAGGGGAAGCCCACGAGGTTCGAAGTTCCACACCCCAACTACAAAATACTGAGGAAAGGGGAAGCTCATGGATACATTTTGATCCACACGATTATAAAATGGAAAAGGATTTGGGGAGTTTCCATTTAATCACATTCACTATTTGAAAATTTGACTTAGACATTCAAATAATCTTTAAGTTCTCAACAAATACAAACATAAATTTGCACACGTAATTAATTGGAAGCTCCAAAAAACGAAAAAATTAAGATTTAAAATTTATTTTTGTCATATTCATGATTGTTATAGTCAAGATTATTGACTTGTTAAATTTCGGATCCAAAATCTATCTTTAAGATGGATTTTGAAAGGACACGACTTTTGTAAATCAATTGAGCACCAAAACAACATCGCTGTAAAATATATTGTTTATGAGTCGGAACTGACTAGAGTTTTTGTTAAGGTTGCGTTTAGAGTCATGGCCAAGTCTGTCAAGACTTTCCAAGTCTCAATGTCCCTCTTTTTTATCTACTGAAAAATAGTAAAATATCTTCAATGGGAGGAATGGGGTCGGCGCATTGGTAGTTAGGGGGCTGATGCTCAACATAATGTTCCACCCTCCATTCCCACATAAACATGTCAAAAAAGAAAAGAAAAAAAAAAAAAATCTTCCATGACAGATTATTTGGGGTATTCCAAAGCCAAGTTTGAGCCCTGGGTGTGACTTTGACTGTTTTTAGATCCATAAACCTATTTTGAGATTGATCTACAATGTAACGCGGTCAAAGTTCGATTTTCAAAATTTTAGATTGACAAGTCCTTGGTAAGCTTCAGACATCTGCGGTTCAAATTTAATCCAAAAAGTTCTTGGGAACCCAAATTTGTAGTCTTGCTCTTACATTATTTGATTTTTGTAGATTTTTTTTTTTCATATTTGAGTTTTTTAACTTTCTTTTTGGGTAATTCAGTGGGAAAGATATACCCCTATGCATTTTTTTAAATAGATTACAAGTTAGCTTTTTTGAAGGTATTAATTAAGTGGTGGGAATGAAAACCACAACGTGGTAACTAATGTGCGGAAGGTGTGAGTTGCTACCACCACAACCTTAACCCCTCTGCCATATGAATATTTCTAGTTTTTTGTCATTCCAGGCTTTATTTTAGCTAGATAACTACTTTCTACAAATTAATAGCATGATGATGCATATTTTTCTTTGATTTTGAAATTTATTTTTGAGACTGTAAAAATCCTTTGCACAATTAAAACAAATTCATTTTCTATTTTATCACAGATTAATTTTTTAGTTATAACTTTTTCGGTGTGGTTTATATAGCAGTGTTCGCAAAATTGAACCGGAATGGTTAACCAAACATGGGCCAAAAAGCGGTTTAACCAGCCTAACTGGTAAACCTGCCGATTCAACCATTCTAACCAGGCAAGTTGCAGGGTATCAAAAAAGTGTTGAGAAAAATAAAAAAGATGAAAAAAAAAACTACTAAAATATGAAAAGCATATAAATAATGATTAAAACAAAACACATTCAAATGAAGTTAAAAATTAATGAAAAAAATGGATTTTAATGAATCGATTTGTGCTTAAGGGTATTTTTAATATTGTTTGAAAAAGATGGGAAAATATTAAAGTGAGTATTAATGACCAAAGCAATTTGTTTATCTTTACCATAATGTAAAGAATATTAGAAAATACATTACAAACCAAATTCCTTATTTTTTGAGAATTTATATAATTTTTTTGAAAGTTTATTTTTAAAAATATTGGTCGATCACCAAAACAGCCCAAGACCAAAACCGGCCAGTAGCCAGTTCAAATCTAACCGGGCGGTTAGCAGTTAGATCGCCCGGTTTTTCTAACAGTGGTATCATCCTTAAACAATCAAAGTAAAAAGCCCTTTAAATCTTGTTAAAAGATGTAGTTCCCGAAACCGTTATTATGGTCTAAAAATCTATTTTTACTTATAATTATGAAATTTAAATTTTCAAAAATAGTGTAGATTGAACATATCTATAAACACTTATAAAGACTGAAAATAGAAGATGTAGATAATGACTTACATGATATGTTGTTTCTAGTACCTAATTTTTTTATTTTTTGTTTTTTGTTTTCATATCCATATATCTAAAAATCAAGATAAACAATTGTAAGGGATGTTAAATGCCAGAATTACTTTTTCAAGTTTGAATTATTTGTTATTCGACGGTGTTTATTATCTGAGATAAAACTTATAGACAAATTTACATACATCTTTTTGAGAAGGTTTATTTTAGTCAAAGCAAATTGAAAATCACATGTTTTTTGCTAGACAAAGCTAGAAATTCCAACAAAAGTCTAGTAACTTACAAATCTACTTAATCTACATCTATTTTAAAATTTTCAGTTTTCATAATCAGAATTGAACATGGTTTTTTAAGCCACTGTAAAATTTCTGAAACTGGAATTAAATCTTGCGACTAAAGTTAAAGTTGCACCTTGCATAGTATAAGTGGACACCTTATGCAAACCTCACCCTTTTATAAAATCAATCATAATACTGAATTATTTGTTGTTCGACAATGTCTATTATATGAATCTCACCCTTTTATAAAATCAATCATAATACTGAATTATTTGTTGTTCGGCAATGTCTATTATATGAGATAAACCTAATAGACAAAATTTACATACATCTTTTTGAGAAGGTTTACTTTAGTCAAAGTAAATTGAAAATCACATGTTTTTTGGCTAGACAAAGCTAAAATTTGCTTGAAATTCCAATAAAAGTCTAGCAACTTACAAATGTCATGCATAACATACCAAAGCTAACAAATTAATATCATCCGGAGTTCTATTAATTTTAAATAAAATAATCTATTTAATAAAGTAAAGGGACAAAATCTCCATAAACCCCGTTTACAACTTTTATTTCTTCCTAGACTCAAAATTTCAAAACCTATCTTCTAACCTCCCAAATAACTTTATTTATTTTTATTCCAACTTTTAACCCAAACAAATTATTAAAGATATCTTTTTTCTAACTCTCTCTCTCCTCACATGTTTCAATCTCTCCTCACGTGTTTCTCTCTCTAGACTGGTCATGCTCAGAACTCTCTCTCTTCTTCTTCTTACCCACCTTCTCTCTAGCTGCTCTATTGCTCTTATTCTCGGCCTGCAATGGGGTCACCATAATTTATTATCGACGTATTGCTGCTGACCAAGCCCTTTCTTGATGGTTCCAGTGAGCTCCAAAAGCATATCGGCCAGAGTCGATTTCCCATGATCAACATGAGTACTGATCGAGAAGTTTCTGATTCTTTCAAGTGGAAACTGGCTCAAATCAATAACAGTTTCTTTGCTAAAATGGCGAGATTGGGAGAAATAAAAATAGTTAGAAATACAATCACCCAACTTTGAATTTCCTCCAAAATCATGAAAAATGGGACCAAATACAGAGAGTCTAGAAAGTAAAATCAGAGACTTTGGTCTAAAGGTCCTTGAAGCTCGACACAAGGAAACCATTAGAGAACATTGAAGAGAGATCAGCTTGGACTAAATATGGGGCTGTATATATAAAGAATGGGGCTGTATATATAAAGAGCTCTCTGCATTTTGGGTTGTATATCGTTAAAGCCTAGAGGGCCAAAATTTAGAGTGAATATTATCGGATGATTTGGCTAGAAGCTTTCGCCGGAAAATGAAGATTGATGACTTTTTTGAGGTGGGTTTCAGGGAGTTTGTGTTATGGGTCAATTGGGATTCTCTCTTTAGGTAAGGAGGGAGGGGAAGTGGGAGGTGGTGGTGGTGGTTTTAGGAGGGGTAGGGGAAGTAGGAGGTGACCTGGCGGAGGACAGGAAAGAGTGCACGGAAATACTGACGGGGCTGGCGACGTGCTTGCCATATGCGTAGAGGGAGGCAGCGGCGCCCACCAAGGACTGTTGAGGGGGGCCTAGAGAAAAGTGGCAAGTGCTTCTACATCCTTATCATAGACTCCACTGATCCCAACGTCCGCATTAAGATCAACACCTCTCGCGTTGCCAAGCTACCCCACTCTTGTAGCGCCTCCGTCGATATACACCACTGCCCAAGTTACGCTCTAATCTCTCTTGGGTTTTCAATGGTGGTGGTGGTGGCTTTAGGAGGGGAGATAGAGAGAGAGGGGTTTGGAGGTTAATCGGGGGAGAGAGAAAGGGAATTCAAGAGAGAGAGAGGTTACAAACAATGTCTTTTTTTAAGTTGTTTGGATCAAAAAAAGTAATAAAAAATGAATAACATATGTTTAATGGGTTAGGAGATATAAACGAGTGAATTTCTATGTAGTAAGATATAATTTGAAACCTTAGGTTAATAGAGAAATAAAAGTTGAAAATGGGGTCTATAGATATATTTTCCCTAAAATAAATTGTACCGTAACAAATAACTAGATCATGTTTGCCAAAAAGTTTATTTTTACATAACAACCGAGAGATGAAGATGTATATGATTCAAGAAGCAACCACATGCATGCCCCCAAGAACACTTGAACCATAGTAAAGAGGAAGCTATTCAATCACTACTCCCACTCCAACAAATCAAGTTTATACAAGTCCCTTAATTTCCAAATTTATATAACATTCTTGCCCACAAATTGAAAGCAAAGTCAACATTGTAGAAGTAGAGAGATGAGTGAGAAACGGTCCATACCCTTCATAATATGTACACAAATTCCTGAATCTCAAAGTACCAAACCTTGGGCTGGAGGGGGCTTGGAGGAAGGTTCATGAGAAGGAGATTTGGGGGAGTCCGAGAGATGAACCTGGGTATACCCTTCAACCATCTCTCTCCTCTCCTTGTCCTCAGCTTTCTCAACCTTCTCTTTGGTCTTGAGGCCCACATCCTCCGCTGCTTTGGTCACTCGGCTAAATGCACCTGCTACCCATGATGCTCCTGTGAAGACATACCTGTTCTTGAGGATGGCTGAACCAGCGCTGTTCACCTTTGTTTGTTACAAGGAGATAGAAATTACGATTAGTCCAAATGCTATGAAGAAAGCAGCAGACATGAGAGAGTGGATTTGCCAAATTAAGGAGGCAGAAATTCGGATAATAAGGGCAATAACTGTGAAGAAACCAGCAAGTGTGTGTGCGAGAGAGAGAGAGATGCACCAAGAACTTTGGACACTAAACACCACTGCAGCTTTCATGCAACAGTAGCAGCACGTGTTCAGTGAGGGGCTTTTCATCATTTTTTCAGCAAAATAAAAATTATGTTCAAAAGCAGGGGGCGATCGTTTTCTTCGGACTCATAAATGCCTGTATCCTTTTACCAACAATTTCTATGCACTAAATAAATGAGGGAAATTGGCCCTGCCCAAAAGTGTAAGGACAGGAAAGGGCACACCAAAATATTGGGGGACGACTATCTACGATCCACAATTGCTTCGTGCATGTTAAGAATGCTTGTGCAGATCCCTACAATGCGTGTAGGCGCGAATGTATGAACATTCTTATATGTATGTTGAGAATGAGAGCCGTGAACATTGTCTCTAAACAGTCTATTAAGCATCATTCTTCTATTTCTTTCTTGGATAGTTCCTTGTCATACACAAACTCTGATAAAAAATCCTGGTTCCCCTCACCTCAAAATGTTTGTAACCTCGAAAAAAATTCAGCATCTTTCAAAGTCAAGAATCCTCAAAGTTGTAAATACTAAACTTTGTTATAATTCACCTCCAAATTAATTATTCCTGTATTGTAGTTGCCAAATGAAAACTTTAACATACCTTTTGCTCAGCAGCTGCAAAGGCAGTCTTGGTCTTCTCAGAGACTGCAAATTTCTGATCCATCTCCCTCACCTTCTCATTTACCACAGCAGTACCCATGCTGATCTTCTCACTAAGGCCAATCTTTTTGTCAATGGAGGCAACTTTGGCAGTGGCGCTGGAAGTAAACTGGTGCTTATCATCAAGAGCCTTGGCCTTGTTGACGGCATCCTTTCCCAATATGAAGCCTTTAGCAAGCATGCTGGTGACCACATCCTCTGCCTTCTGAACAGCTGATTCGGCTCCACTGGCGACCTTGCTCGAATCTTTTGTCTGAAAATTCAAACAACAGATAAGTTGAAGAGTGCAAAAGTATAGAGAATCCTTTGTCCAAAAAAGATTCAATATAGGTAGAGGTTGCAGAATTTAGAAAAGGAGCGAGAGAGAGATAGGTAGAGGTTGCAGAATAGAGAAGAGAGAGAGAGAGAGGGGAAAGAATGGGGGGGGGGTGAGGAAGAGAAAATATGAACAAAGCTTCTGAATCTTGAAAAAAATATCTTGGAAGAACAAGAGTGACAGGCAACTCCCTTAAAAATCCCAAGAGGATTAAGAGAGCATGTACTATCATGGAAACTTAGAAGAAGGATTTTTAGAGACAAATTTGTAAAGTAGTAATAACATTGTGGAAAATATGCATGTAACGTGGGATGCCAATATGGTGGATTGGTTGGCTAATATAGGTGTAACCAGGAATGATGTGGATCTTGGGATTCCTGCCACCTTAGGCTCCCAAGGCTAGTAAAATTACTACATAAAAATAATACTAATAATAATTCCTTGGTAATCAATCTTGTTCTCTGGAACTTAACCATCAAGGTAAATCTTCAAGATGCATTTCATATTCTGGTTCTTTAAACAAACTAAAGAAAATCTCAGAAATATAATAAAGAAAATGACTTTATATTCAAGAGCATTAAGCGAAGCTTATTTTCTGGAGGGTTAAAATTAGAAATGCCCCTCCTACCAACCGTCCAACCATGACAAGGGCATGGAAAATTAGATGGTACAGCATTAAAAACACCTTATTTTGTGGTACTTTGATTTTCCAAAAAAAGACAAAAACTATTATAAAAAGGTGTGTATGAAGTGCACCTGTGGATCCAATTTGTTCGTATGGAGCAGCAGCCAAAACCCCTACTAAGGAGTATTTGTGGGAACCAAAATCATTCCAAAAACAAAATTGATCCAACTCTAAGATTAATCTCTATAATAAAAGTTGATTTAGCTAGAAATTCCTAGATCTGACATCCAACAAATGGATGATCCAGATTGCATTTGGAGCATTTTTATATATGCGAGGTTTTGGAGGTCCCACAAACACACCAAAGTAAGAGTTTTACCTATGAGTGCAGATGCACAATTTGGACCCACCAGTCCACTTATCATTTTCATCATAAAACTATAAATCTATAGTACAGAAAAACCTATAAAGGAAACAAAAGTTTTAGTTCACTTTTATTGAATTTACTATAAAACTATATTTTGTCAGACATTTCTACCTTTTTACTCATGACTTATTTGAAATGACTATTTTTTACTTTCCAGTTGCAACTTATTTTTTACTTGTAAGTTGTAACTATCTTTTTTTACTTGTAACTTATTGTGGGTTACAAGAATGTTGTCCTCCAACATTTGTTTTTTAACCTACATTAAAGCTCCTATATAATCCAAAAAATTTATTGGAATCAAGAAGAAATTAAAATTTCACAAAATATCCTTTAACAAAAATCTTGTGCATTTCTCTTGCAGTTTATGCAAATGGAAAATTTTGGTACCATACGATATGAATAGAGATAAACGGATATTCACATCGAGAGGGAAAGGAAAGAGGGATGACAAAAGCATCCAATGAGAGAGACAGAGAAAGAGAGAGAGCAAGCATTTGTCGAAAGAGTAATACACAATAAGCTTCTAAATAATACCAAAAAGACAAAACATGCCCTTATTTCACAGCAGAAAAAGATAACCATACCGGAAGTAAAGGTGGTTTCACATATATATCCTAGATGGCTATTGGTTCTGAATCAGTTAATCAAGATGCAATCTAAACATTCAATTTGATAAAAGAAACTTATATCCTGAATCATTCTATTAAAAATTTACCATAGGCGGTGCTGAAGCAGCAGGTGGCAGTTGGTAATTCACAGCAGGAGTTACGTTTACAGATAGATCAACAATTGTTGCCCCCTGCACCAGAAAAGGAGTTCACTCAGTGTTATGAGACAAAATATAGAAACCTCAGGAGACTATATCATAGCCATAAAAGAAGAAGAAAATGATAGGTTAGGTTTCTTTGGTTTCAGACAAACTTCAACAGTTCAAACGCTCAATCTAGTGATGTCCAACACAAGGCCAGAGCCTAAGAACACTATCAATTCACCTCAATGAATTAATCATAAAATTAGTTGAGAGAATTTTTAGGTCCAGGGTATACTGATAAAACATGACAAACATCGAAATACAAATTATTTCTAATCTACTTTAACAGAACCGCAATCAACATAAAAAACAAAACAAAAAAGAAGAAAAAGTCTCAAATTTTGATTGTACCGATAGGAGTAAAGCTGTCTCTGCTCCTTGTGAATCCTTGAAGGTCACATAAGCAATCTGGGATCGTTCATTGTCACTACAACACAGTTTGTCAGGTACAAATACTTAATACGTGAAAATTTTCCAAGTATCAAACAATATGGTAACTAAGAAAGACCAACCTTTTCATTTCAACATATTCGATATCCCCAGAGAACGAAAAGAATTCCTTAATGTCCTGTTCAGTAGCACCCAAGGAGACGTTGCTGACCTTAACTGTTCTTATCTGAAGCAAAAAAGCATGCCATTAGACAGTGTTGGGCTCAGAAACAAGTAATAGACATGTCATTGATTCATAATTCATAAATTCCAGTATACCCTGCAGCTAAAACATAATTTTCTGATCTGATCAGCTATTTTTTTCTGTAAATTATACAATTGAAGGAAGCAAAGTCCATCATACTATTGATACGAAGTGTGATAATTATCACATCCTCCATCACACATGTTGATGGGTCCAGTAACAAAGGCTTCAAGAACTTAAAGTTCTAAATGCTGGTGTTACTGACAAAGGACCTCTGAGACCAATCTCGCCAACATGTTATAGTGGTTCCTCTTGTAATATTCTAGTCAGCCAAAAATAATAAGGAAGTAGAGAATAACAACTAAAACAAGCAACCAACTAGTTTTAGTAGAGTGGCATACAACTAGTTTTAGTATTCTTCATTCAATAGTGATGAAAATCCACTATCCTGACACCAACCAACCGTCTCCGAACAAGCAAATAACAATCAACCGTAATGCCTTCTTTAAAATATTCCTAAAGGATAATTTCAGAAAAAAAACCTAACTTGTGAATAATGGGCCCCACATCCAGCTCCCCATAAGACAAGTGACCATATTATATAAGATCCACGAGATGCCAGGTATGTGCAAGAAGAAGCTCCGCTTGTTTTTCTATGAAAATGATAATACATTGCAATTTTCAAGGGAGCTTTTGGGGAAGAAGAACAATCTCCTACCTGACAAGCAAACTAGCAAAGAATACTAAGGGCAAGTTTGGTACGCATGAAAATAATTTCGTGAAAGTATTTTCACATAAAAAAACTCCCCATGTGATTAGGTATGGAAGTTTTTCCATGCCAATTAGTCCCAGCGCATTTTTTTACACCAATTGGCAGCCAATTGGTATTAAAAAACTTCCACACTTAATCACATGACAGAGTTCTTTCATGGGACATATTTTCACAAGAATATTTTCACACATACCAAATGAGCCCTAAGGGAAAACGAGAAACAGTCATTGAACTCATCCAGCTCTCCTAGAAAAGCAAACAAATACGGCAGAACTGGTTGAACTATCAATAGCAATGTTATAAAACTTGGAATCGCTCTGGAACTTGTGGGGTGCTAAAAGTGAGTCGACATGGCAAGTCTTGTGAGGACTCACCAAGACTTGCGTGAGTCCCCCGAAAAAGACAACAAAAAATCCAAAAGAAAAGGGCAAGGAATAGGAAAAATCATAAAACAGCAATTAAGAAATCCTATACACAAACTAGATTTGAGATTTGAGTTCAGACCTAGTTGAAGCTCTTGAAATTTTTGGGCAAAATAGTATTTTGGTATTCAAAATCTTGCACATTCGAGATTTTGGGTGTTTTTTTGGGTGAAATCTAAGCTTTGGATTTGATAGAAAACACAAGAGTAGACTTATTTTCAATCCAAGAAAACAACTTTGGTGAACCCTAGTCCAAAGAAAAAAATCTCACAAGTCCATTTTTCTACTCTTTTACCAAATCTGATATTTGGAATCGAAAGAGGACGGAAAACTTACACCTAGGGGTAATGTTTCAAAGAGATCCATACTCAAATGACGGAGAAAATATAAAAAAGGGGACTTGGATTCCCCCCTTCCCCCACCCCCCGGCCAGGGGTGACCGGGCCCCTTTTCCAAGGTGGCAGGTTGTAGAGTCTGAGTTGGACTTCAACGTGTTTTTGAACACTGATAAATAGAACCAGACTGAACTAGGTCGAGATGTCAGATGAGTTGGTCACCACACCAAATATTGGACCCATATCGATCGTGTAGCATTTGAAATAAAAAAAGAGAAGATTAGGAAAAAGAAATCTTAGTTGCAGGAACCTTGTACCTAGGCGGTGCCTCCTACTTCTTAATTGGACACCCGCCTCGTGTTACTCACCACCCTACGAAGAACTGTCTACATGTCCATTCTCATTCTGACTTTGAGCGATTATGTCTTGGTTTTCTAGGCAACTAAGAGCCAAACCAGTCATGTAACTAGTTTTCAACTGCATGGGTTGGTATCATCCATTTATTTTTGTTGCTTGCCGTTGCACAATTGGAAAGCAAAATAATAATCAGCAATGATCAAGAGATTCACAATGATTGATAATTCCATGTATACGAGTGTCACAGAACTTTCCCCAATGAAAAACGATAAGTAAAGGCAAATAAATCCAACTATAACCTGTTTTCCAGTCACTAAAATGTTCCTACTGCCAAAAGGCTGTTATTTACATGTGGAAGTTTCTTAGCATAAAATGTCATAATCCACATGGCAAAGACAACTCAAGATCGGAAGATCCAAGTTTTGACTGAACTAGCAAAAATTGTACACTTCATGCAAAAGATATTGGATGAATCATCATCATCACCATCATCATCGTAGCATTTTTCCAACTATTGGAGGTTGGCTACACGAATTCTATCAGAATTCATGGAAATATTTGGAAAGTTTTACGTTGGCTACCTACCTAACACAACCCACCTCTTTTACCCGGGCTTGAGACGGTTAAGGGAAAGTTTAAGATCCTCACCCTTCTCAGTCATGCAGTGATCATCTATCTAGTCATAACTCTATACATAAGAACCACCTTGATACATCAGTGATCATCTATCTAGTCATGCAGGGGACATGTGGCGGTTCCAATAATTGTTAACATCATGTGCTGTAGCGTTCCCATTGCCCTTTTTTAATTTGGTCGAAACTAGAATAGTCCATCCTGCTTGTCATTATATCTTTTGATTATAAAGAAGTGGTAAATAGCCCATTGATCAATCCTTTTGTAGTGCTTCCCATGAATTCCATGTATATCATAGGTCACATAGCCCCCACCATTCCTTATTGGATGGTGTGGGTTCCTCCCCCCAATTCTGAAACCGGCAAGTTCTTGTTCTTGTTCCATATTCATTCAAGCAATAAGAGATGCTAGGCGTGCAGCCAAGCTTAGGAACAACGCAGAAAAGATCATGTCTCATGCAAAATTTAGGGCATTAACCCAATAAATTCATTTCCTTCAACACGAAACAGAACCAACAGGTCTCTGCTGGCCATTTACAAGAATTACTAACCAGAAAGAAACCAAAAGGAATATAAAAATGGAGAATAATTTCCCAAAAATAAAAAATAAAAGAATAAGATGAAAGCATGGAAGACATTTTGTATGAAAATGCAGCAAGGAAAGTTCCAGTTCCTTCATAAGAAATGGATAAGATGTCTCTCAACACTTTTGTCATGATAAATGGTTTGACATCCAAACTACCCCAAATGACTTCCACAATGAAAGACACTTAAAATGAAAATGGTGTGTCATCCAGGACTCAAGCAAACCAACCATTGATAAGGACATCATCCCCCAACAGACTGAAACGACCTAGGACAAGATATTGCTCTAGCAACCAGGTCGTGGAAAAACGGTTCAGAGTAGGCAATTTCAGTATTGACCATTGGTATGAGAAAGGGCAAGAGCCCACTGTATAAGATCTTTTAGAAGCAAAACGGCAAGAGCCCACTGTATAAGATCTTTTAGAAGCACATACTCCTCAGGGGGGTCAATTGGGAGGCGGACATAAAGGTCTTTGTGATGCAATCAACAATTCCTTTGACTTTCAAAAATTTTCCCAAACAAAGGGATAAGAGAAACAAGTATCTAAAATATAAACATTTTTCACCAAATCATTGAAAAAAAAATTTAAATACACTGGCATGTCAATAATAACCATCAAGAGTCTCCTATTCTATGTTTCTGACAATACAATGTTACACAAACATGGCAAAAAATAACCCCTGATTATAAGATTTGATCTATGGTTGAAGCAACACGAACCTGCACCCTATATATAAATATTAAGGATAAACTAAATATCCCAAAACATACTGCGGATACAAAACTGAAGGATAAAAATAACTGCACAAACAAAGTACCAAATCAGGGAGAAGTGTTGCTGCTAAATATTTAGCCTAATCATTTTTTTCTTTGTACAGATCTTGAAGAAAAAATAACTCAATATAATTCAATTCTTTCAAAAAGCAGATCCAAGCCACTATGTCGGCTATTTAATATAGTAATCAACCAAAAAATAAATCAATCAATGCGAATAAGGGAACACATTCAAACGTCGATACAAAAGGAAGATTTCAGAAAATTGTGAAAAAAGACAAAAATAATTCACAAATGCTGAAACTTGAGACCAGAAAATGCGACTTACTATGGTTAAATCTAGCTTAACCTCTAACATAAAAAAAATTTCAAGTTAACAATAAGCAATCATCCAAGAAATGCAAATCAATCAAATGGTTAAACAACTTCAATCCAACTGACGGAAAACATATCTGAATTTCACAATTAATGGCCCAGAGTTCTAGATTCTAGATTAATCAAATTTACAATAACCAGAAGTGATCCTTCAAGTCTTACACGATCATTTCTAGGAAAAACCTTAACTAAATCATTTAAAAAACAATTCCATAAAACAAAGCACAAAATGAACTCCGTCTTAAAGAAAACCAGTAAACATTTCAAATTGAACGGAAAATGAATAATAAACAGAACTGAATCACAAGCCATAATCGGAGAATCAGGCGAAAAAATAATTCACAAATTCAAAAATAAAAAACAAAAGGAAAAAAGAGCAGATCAAAGACGAAATTGACACTAACCGACATTGAAGCGGGTTCGAAAAATATCAGATGAGAAATGCTTGCCTCGTACTTGTTTAACGCAATTTGAAGTTCAAGTATAAACCCTAGGGCAAGTCTTCGTCAATCAAAACGCTCAAGGCGTTTAAAATTTTGGATTTAACGCGTTTTTCTTTTTTTTTTGAAATTTACCCAAAAGATTCCTTATTTCTCGTTTAAACCCCATGCACGTGGTAAGAAGTTGAACTGGATTGTAAAGAGAGAAGGGAAGGTGTGGGCACGGCCGTAAAATATTAGGGCTTGGGCCACAAACTGTGTGCCCAAGGCCAGGGTAGTGCCAAGGCCAGGGTAGTGCCAATGCCAGCATTGTTGGGTACGTCATGGGCAAGGGAAGGTACGAGTATGGCCCTAAAATAGTAGGGTTTGGGCCACAACCTGGGGCCCAAAGCCCGGTTAGTGCTAGTGCGTGTAGCTTGATTTATAGGCCTCGATTTTTCTTTTTTTTTGGAAAATTTTGTATAAATATGAAGCCGTAAGCAATCAAATTAGAGTGCACCTCAAAAATTTCACTAAAAGATGCCCTTTTGATGTTCAAATATCCTCAAATTAATCATCTCGACCTAAAGATGCATAGACATGAGAAAAAAATGGATTATAATGCATTTTTGGACCATTAATTTTCACGATTTTTAAGTTTCCATAGATCTGCTCGATTTACATTATTTTTAAAGCTTTAAATATTATAATTAGTGATAAAAAACATTTTAAGGTATTACAAAGATTTTCAATATTAAAACCATATTTCTCTATACTATTTGAAAGTGTGTTTTACTTTGATTGGTTGGAGCATGGTTCTATACAAACCTCACCCTTATTTTTTTAATTTATTTTTGACTCCGCCCGAGGACAAGGATTGGGCCAAGAAAAATTGTTGGCCCGGCCCACAGCCGACCTGTTGCCACCACATGTTGGACTGTTGCATATGATACATCATCAAAAGTCCAACGTTGGCTCCGGCACGTGGACTGTTGAGATTATTTGGATTGAGGTCACGGATATTCTTGTGAAATTGATCTCCAAATTGAAGGAAAAGTTTATATAGGGCCGAGGCTCTAAACAATCCAATTAGAGCCTACCTTAGAAATTTCATTAGAATAGATTGTTTTGATGTCCAAATATCATCAAATTGATCATCTCGACATCAAGATGCATGTGCATGATAAAAAATAGATTTCAACTTTTGAAAATAGTGTATTTTGTAATGCATTTTTGGACGGTTGATTTTCAATATTTTCAAGCTCTCATATATCTGTGTATTTGTACTATTTTTGAAGCTTTAAACTTTATAAATAAAGATAAAAATGTATTTTATGGCTATCAAAAAAAATTTCAGTATTAAAACTACATTTCTAGATACAATTTGAAGGTAGGCTAAGATTTGATTGTTTAGAGCCTAGGCACTCTACAAACCACACCATTGAAGACAGTGATATACTAGACCATGTATCTTGAATATAAAGAGGTCACAAGAAATCTGAGTCATTCCATGTGAAATCGGACTGTTGGGGTCAATCCATTAAATGGGCCCAAAGCTCAAAAGGAATTTTTTTGAAATGTGTGATGTCACCATTGAAGACAGTGATATACTAGACCATGTATCTTGAATATAAAGAGGTCACAAGAAATCTGAGTCATTCCATGTGAAATCGGACTGTTGGGGTCAATCCATTAAATGGGCCCAAAGCTCAAAAGGAATTTTTTTGAAATGTGTGATGTACCTTAAGTTGTCACATTTGTTATTTGATAGTTAAAAATGGGAAAAATTGTTGAAAACCACTAAAATATTTTTTTTAGGCACACTAGTCCACCCTAAACTTGTTTTTCTTTTCTTTTTCTCAAAAACTATATTTTCTATCTAATACCCCTACTCAAGATAAATAGTCTGTTATAATTTTTTGAATACATTATTATTGAATACATTTTTTTTATCAGTAACTATCCATTATTTCAATAAAATTATTTTCAATAATGCTTCTTGTCCGTGTTCAAGTTATTTAAGATTAATTAATTTTATTTTATTAGTATTAATTTGCTACAAATAATATATTTTATGGCAAATGACAAAGAATAGTTAGAAGTTGCTAAAATAAATAAATAATTGAATAGTACTATATATAATACAAAATACATTGAACAATATTACACATAATACAAAATGCATACTAAACAGTTAACAAGATAATATTATCATAGTATATTAATTTCAGATATGATAAAATGCTCCATAAAAATTAATGGAAAAAGTTTAGATAAGTGTGAGGCTTTATACCGTCAAATAAGAGCGCACGTCAAAAATTTCACTAGAAGAGATTGTTTTGGTACCCAAATATCCTCAAACTGATCGTCTCGACATCACGATGCATGGACATGAAAAAAAAAATGATTTCAAGATTGTGCATCTTGTAATACATTTTCAAACCGTCAATTTTCAAGACTTTTAAGTTTTTATAGATATGCTCGATCTACACTATCTTTTAAGCTTGAAATTTTATAACTACAGATAAAAATATATTTATAAGGCTATCACAAAGATTTTCAATATTGAAATTACATTTCTCAACACTATTCGAAAGTGCGCTTTACTTTGATTGTTTAGAACCTGGGCTGTCCTAAAATTAATTGACCTCCTATATTAATCCCATACAATCTCTTAAGTGAAATAGAAATATGCATCATTCATTTGAAGTGCGAATACATAGACCATCGACCACGTGTTGACCTATATGCGACCACGAATACCACTATTTTTAATGGGATTGTCGATAAAAACACCATTTGCCTTTGAAAAAAGTTTATATTGAGCCTAGGCTCTAAACAATCAAATTAGAGCCTACTTCAAAACATTCATTAGGTCTTTTTGATCCCCGAATAAATGATCATCTCGGCATCAAGATCCATGGACATGAGAAAAAAAATGAATTTCAAGTTTTGGAAATAGGGCAACTGGTAACTCAATTTTCAACCATCAATTTTTAAAATTTTCAAGTTTTCATAGATCTGATCGATCTACACTAGTTTTGAAGCTTTAAATTTAGATAAAAATACAATTTAAGGCAATAACAAAACTTTCTTGGATTGAAACTATATTTTTTGGCACTATTTGAAGATGGGCTCAAATTTGATTATTTAGAACCTCGGCTCTACATAAACTGCACCCTTTATCTTTTACACAAAGAAGTCACAATCATTCACACTCATTAGATATCAAATTAGATGGTTTGGGGTAAGTCACAAAGTCAGAGAATTTTTTTTTTTTTGGAACTTTCTGTCTATTCAATGACACTCTTACAACCATCCATTTAGAAATTTAAGGGACAAAAATGATTGTGACCTCCATGTACAAAAGATGAATGGACTTTTTGTAAACAATCCCATTTTTAATAACAAACAATAGAGATTTATTAAAGGAAAAAGTTTATGTAGGGATGCAACCTTATAATGTAGAACTACGGATGCAGCTCAGAAATTGGAAAAGGTAGTTTTAATGTTGAAAAACCCTTTGATTGATCATCTCGACATCAAGATGTATGACCATGAAAAATAAAAAGATTTTAAGTCTCAAAAATAGTGCATTTTACAACATATTATCTACCTACACCGTTCATTTTCAAGATTTTCATATGAAATTTAAAATTTTATAATTAGATATAAAAATAGATCTTGAGATAATCCTAAGAACATTTACATCAAAATTATATACCATAATAAAATTTGAAGGTGCAACTTACCTCTACAACTACGGATGCATCCGTATGCCAACTGCACCTTTGATTAAATCCCTAAAATATCTCCACCTTTTATCATCATGAAAGGGTGGTGGATGCTCCCCATGGTGTACCACAACCGCATACTACTTATTCCATGCTCCACAGTTAATGTCCCCGAAGGGGTAAAAGCGAGGGTGATTCTTTGCTTTTCATCATTTTCTGGTTGGCAGCCAAAGTGAGCAGACGGCAACCAGCTCTCTCTCTCTCTCTCTC